CCATACTGTGTTGAATTTTTATTGACGCTCATAGTCATATATGAAATTATTGATAGACCTCAATAGCCAATCCAAAATAGCCAATCAATTCTTTTGGAGGCGGTGAATCACCAAAACTATCAATATATTCCTTAGAGGCATGCCTTTTCTCTTTTCCTCTATGCTACCCAATGTTTCCCTGGATCGCGTCGACCATCCAAATTCACTATGGCAAATTCATATTGGTGTTGTCCTGATACCTCTAGAGAATGAGAAATCATCATTTTCTTAGCGTGATTATTATATTTTTGTAAAAGTTCAAAATCTTTTACAAGGTTTTACAAGGTTTCGATTATAATTTCAAATGTCAAAAACAATAATTTATATGGAGATTGACATTTCTAACTGTAACAAATTACTTCTGAATCATTTTATTTAGCTCATTTTATAGATTTCGGAAGTTGATAACGGTACACCGCCTATTTCATGATTTATATTATATTAACTACTGATTGGTTGAAATTACATGGCGCTCTCTTTTTTTACTTACAAATCATGACTCACACCTACACGACAGTAGAATAATACAACCAGTAGCTATCTTAGCACGTAATCCTCCCGAGTTATCGGGGATCTTCAACCGCACTTAAGATGAGATTCTCAACCAACGCGTTCAGTGCTATAGTTTCGAAGGATTTGACGGTCCCACGAACATTGATGGATTAGTTATATTAAACGGTCGGAAACTGATATTGTGTTTAGTTTATTCGCTGTTGTTGTAATTATTATTTTTAGTTTTTGTAATTGGTTATAAGTAATTTACCAAAAAATATTGTTTAATAACCTTAAATTTCGTTTTTATATGAGCGCACACCTATGATAAAAAAACGAAATTGGCTCCATAACTCGTTTAGAGGTCACCGTGAATTCATGAATAAAAGTACTGGAAGTGGACTTACTGGTTGATTTTTACTATGCCTACACTCTGAGTTAGTCAGCGACCAATCAGTAGTTCCTGAAAACCATTTGAAAATAGATAGAAAAAACGACGTTGGTAACAGTTCCTTTCTTCAAAATATTTTTTTATATCCAGTGAAAACAAATCTTAGAGTGTTTAGAGCATACCCTGCAGTTCTAGTATATTTTCTATGATTTCATATTTTCATCATTTAGCTCTCATTTGCATAAATAAATAAAAAAATATGTTTGAATAGTATTCCTCCATTTAAATTTGTTCAAAATCTGTTTTTCCGTTAACCAGCTGTCGCACCCCTACGAACGACAACCCTCAGAAGGACGAACTAAGGACTGACGAGGTCTTACTTTTCAATGTGTAATTCCTAACACGAGTTGGAGATAGCAAGTGAAAATCTATCGTTCAACCTGGGGCTCGAACCACCGATCAACACGGCGGTCAATTTAAGTGAGTGAACAAAGCACCCACGTCGAATCGACCGGCTACCGACCGTTCTTAGTTCCCATGTTTATCCTAAACAGTAATTTTTTATATGAACAAGATGATTATGTCACAGATAGACAAGCCCCAAGACAAATAAACTTAAGAAATCAAGAAAATATTCGAAAATATGCATAGAAACCATGATGTTTAAACCGATTCGCTTTTGTTTTGTCGAAATCTCTCAGTGCGAGAAATGAAATTTTACCAACTTGATACACATGTTGACAGTTGGAACACAATGTAAAATGATCTCTTTATTTAATGAAAAATATAAAAGTATTTAACATAGGGAGGGGTCCAAGTGATTACACCATGGTATTTCTATCCATCTTGATTCTCTATCGTTTTTGAAATCGAACTATACATCGACTCATACGTTTGTGACAATCAGTGATAACATGATAACAATCAGTGCTTCCAGGTTGCCAATCAAAAATTTTCATACTCCTCAATGGACGATTCCAGTACCCCTATTCAGTGTTGCCACAGTGGTGAAATTTCATTTCTCGCACTGAGAGATTTCGACAAAACAAAAGCGAATCGGTTTAAACATCATGGTTTCTATGCATATTTTCGAATATTTTCTTGATTTCTTAAGTTTATTTGTCTTGGGGCTTGTCTATCTGTGACATAATCATCTTGTTCATATAAAAAATTACTGTTTAGGATAAACATGNTCGAACAATTGAACAACCTAAAAAAGTAAAATTCCCTAGGATTTTTCATTTTTTTCCATATCAACTTTAATACTTCGATTCATATATCCGAGAACATCCAGGAATCTATAAAGTTACGAATTCAATCTGTTCCGATTTGGATTTACTTCAAAAAAGGTCTAGAAAATGTCAGTCGATTTAGACCCAAAAATTTTATAGTGGCAACCCTGAATAGGGGTACTGGAATCGTCCATAAGCCTCCGCCATTGGCACCACTGAAAACAATGACAGAGTCTGCATTGATCGATTTTGGTGACACCTAGTGGCATATAAAACTCTTTCTCGAGGTTTGAATTCGAAACTAGCGTTATTTCAATAACTCTGAAGTTAAAATTACCATGTTACGTTTCTTCCCATTTTGTTACATTTTAAATACTTTCAACTGATAGTTCACACACCAGAACTGACAAGTGGCGCATCAAAACTTACCCTTGACGTAACATTGCAAGGTGTGTTCGTTTAATACAAATCTTTGCGCTCGATTAGCTCGTTTTACTCGACAAGTGTTCGATAATGCAGATCTATTATCTCAACTATATCTGCTCTATGATCGGTATTTACGAGAGCGAGGAAAAACATGTAATCGGTTAGCTCTGATATCAACGTTAGGATCAAATAGATTTTTTTAATTGTCAGTGGTGATATTTTACAAATATTGTTTGTGTTTCAGGTATTTTTTTGAAAAATCATAACATTTGGTGGAATGTTTGACTTTTGTTCGTCAGCACATCATTGTCTTCAGAAAAGATTTCATGACACATTCTCATTGGGTTAATAATGGCATCTTTGATGCCAGCCATTCTTGAATTGTTGAGGAAAAGTATTTGATTTTTTTCTGATTTATTCGGCCTTTACTTGATGAAGATCCATAGTAATCTCATGAACTACATCTCACGATTTGATCTCCACAAATTTTATTTTTGAAAAATATCACATGTTTCGCTAACACCGTTACTTTTTGTAGTGAATTACGTACTAAAAGTTCATTCTTACTATCATTTATATCAATACATAATTTCAATAAAAAGCTCAATATTATCAAACAAATTGCAGTGAATTTCAGTTTTGGAGATGAATTAAGTCTACACAAAAGCGATTCGGGTCGTTTTTCCTGTTGAAAAGTTAGATAATCAGAAACAAAATTATTATGCTTTAACATATTTCGGACAAACAATAGAAATAGTAGTTTCTTTGAATAAACAAGATATTGAAAATGCATAAAGAACAAGTTATACGTTGGGAAAGTTAATTGAAAATAATAAAGACAAAACATCCTAATTTGAGAAATCAGGAGTTTATAACGTGTCCTAAGGTATATATTGGTCAAACTGGCAAAACATTTAGAAATTGTACCCAGAAACATCATATGAGTATGTAAATAAGAAAAAAACATATTCAAATCATCGTTTAGAAGAAAATCACATTTTTTACGAAAATTTTGAAATTTTACACATAGAAAATAATAGTTAAAACCTAAATCAATTGAAATAAATTAATGGAAATGCAAACATTCTAATGAATGATAACTGGATTTAAATACATCACCATTATTGACCTTTTTTTCTTAAAAACCGATAAAGTATTTTCATTGATGTAGAAATGATATAATATGTTTCAGGTAATCATAATTGAAGATGTACCTCAGGTATATAAAAGTTGTAGATGTTAAGTTGATTTGATCTAGTGAGTACCTAAGTAGGTTGTCCCAATTGTGGTTACGTCGGGAATATGAATATCATAGTAAGAATGAACTTTTAGTACGTCATTCACTACGAGAAAGCTACTGTCTTAGCGGAACATGTGATATTTTTTAAAAATAGAGTTTGTTGAGATCAAATTGTTAGGTGTATTTTATGAAAACGAAAAATTTGGACTTTAAAAAGAAAATTATAAATTACAGTTCTGTTGTAGAAATCATACGTTAATGTTGAACGAAAATAATTTTTTATGGAGGAAAATCAGTTTTTTATCGACCTTTTTTGGGTATTTCCACCTTCCACAATCTGGAAAATATGAAAATTATAATGGAGAACTTTATACAAATGTAAAAAGGGCAAACTTTTCAGTTAACTTCGATAAGTTACTGCGTAAAATCAAAATATTTTCCACAAAAAAAAATGTTCTTTTAATCAGTAATTTGTCGTATTTAATAATTTTTGCTATCAAAAAATTTGCTGAGAAATAATACAATACTAATCTGAACGTTTTAGAGGCCAAAATCTGCCTCCGTCTTCAGAAATGGACAAAAAAATTCAAATATATATGCAGTTATTCCTTTACTGATTATTCAATTCTCAACTTCTTCGACAGATGTCAAAGGAGTTTTGAAATGTGAATTATGCAATTAACCCGTTCTCCACTTGTATAAAGTTTATCCAATATAATTTTCGTATTTTTTTAGATTCTGGAAGGTGAAAATATCCAAAAAAGGTTGATAAAAAAATGTTAGTGGTTTTGTGATGACAAATTATATACTACGAATGCCAGCTTCTCATTCAGGTTGAATCGAGCGTTCATTAAATGAGTCTTGCTCTGTGATCACGAGGTATCAATTCTGCATCTGCCTCTCGTCTCCAGATTTCTAAAACCGAACACGCCTACTGAAAGTTATTATATCGAAATTGTCATTTTTGATATATCAACCAGATATCGACTATCACTTTTCGATATAAATCAGTTAGTGTCATTAACCTCTTGGCTCGGAATGCTGCGCTTCGTATGAGACTCATTTAAAAGTTTAAATTTTCTGTCAAATGTTACTTTTTTCGACATAATCTCTTACAATTTTTTTTTCGAGCAGCACAGCACACCACAGCACAGAAGTTTGTGACATTGTTTACTATTTTGTGGATCAACGAACAACACTTACCAATCTATTATTCAAAATCAAATCCGCTAGCCATAGACCATATACACAAACCAAAGTAGTTTGTGACCATATACCCCCGCTAACTGAACTGGCCTTTCAACTTCTCTGTACGCTACATTTATTATTATTGTAGATTGTTATTTGTAATAAATAACAGTATTTGGTGCAATAAAAAAAGAAATAGTTTAGAGGTTATATATGTTCCTTATATGATGAAACTGGAAAAGCCAAACAAAACGTGACACTTCTTTTGCTTTACTGTGGAATTAGAAATTAGTAGATGGTACCTCCTTGGGTATCTCCTTCGGTATCTCCTTCATTTCATTTGCACTGAATATACTTCAAGATAAAGATATGCCTGATGAAATGAAATGTTGGGTCCCTACTTGTAGGGACAGTGCTGCTCAAGGGTATACTAACAAGTATTATGCTCTTCCTGCAAATTTACAGACAAGAGAATTTTGGATCGCCGTTTCCGGAAAATCAACTGGATCTTTTCCACCAGAGGATATTGTTTTTTGTGAGAAACATTTTCATGTAAGTGATATTGATTTGATTATTTTCAAAAAATAAAAATGAATTTAATTCTGTTATGTCAGAAACATTACATTCATAAAAATATATAAGTACAAAACATACATTATTCATTTCAATACATCACTAATAGCAAGACAATAAAAGGAATTGATGAATGATTCATCTTATAAAAGTAAAAATTATGATAGCACATAGACAATTTAAAATCGAACAGGTCAATAATAAAAATAAGTATGGAAACAATAAATGAAATGGAAAATATGCATAAATCAGTGCATAATTTTTGGTAAAGAAAAGTTTTGGCTTTCTACTTCTCATACAAAAAGTGTGGGAATCTTCCAAAGAAAGAAAGGAAGCAATCAATTTCAAAAATTAACTCTTTACAAAGATGTGTAGATCATGCAAAGAAATAACTTTCAGACACAAACTGGAAGAAAAAACCTCTCAAAACAGCATTTTTTCATTGAGAAATATTAATCAAATAAGTGAATGAATGTTATTTACCTACTGTCATCGATGACATTTATTTATTTATTTGTAATACAATACTTTACAGGACATAGCCCAATTACAGAGAAGGAAATAATAGAGTATAATAAATACATCACAAACAAGTGACTGTAAAGTCTACAAACGCTACAAACAAAACCAACAAGTGACTATAAAGACTACACATTTTATATTTATTATAGGTGACAAAACAATTATTTTAGGAAGTGGGATTTTATATTTGACAAAATGCAACTAAATATATCTAAATTATCGCTAACAGAATTCGTCACTTTACACATGGTATGGATCGGAGAATTCTCCAGAACATTTGTGCAAGATGTTTTTATATAGAAAGTACTCGGGTGTCTGGAACAGATTCTTTTTCTTTGACATGCAGAACATTGTCAAAGATAATTTGTGAGAATAGAGTCATGATTCCTGTATTCTCAAACAAAGGCTTACAGTGTTCATTATATTCAGCATTTACAATGCTACATGCAGCAGCTTTTTGCAAGACAAATACTCTTTGAAAATGGGTGTAGCTTGCATTACCCCATAACAGCAACCCATAACTCATTGCTGAGTGGAACAAGGTGTAGCGTGTCATTAGAGCTGCTTTCTGACCAGCCGTTGTAGCTATTCGCCTAATGGCATAAACAGATTTTGCTAGTTTGTTGCAAAGATTACTGATGTGGCTGGTCCAGGCAAGAGACGAGTCAAGATGAACTCCCAAAACTTTTATACTTTCTGATGTAGAAATGGCATCAGTGTGATAGTTTGAAAATACACAAATTTCTGTTTTTGTTTCATTCATATACAGTTCATTAGAGTCAAACCACTGTTTAGCAGAGGCACAAGTATTTGCCGATATGTTAACAACATCACGGGTTCTATCTATATGTACAGAAAATGACGTGTCGTCAGCGTATAATATTGTCAGTAATTCAAGTTTGAGATGCATATATGAAGGTAAATCATTAGCATAAAGGGAAGGCCCCAGTATGGATCCTTGTGGGACTCCCCTTTTGATAATACGTACTTGACTTATCATTTTGTTATTGTAAACTCTTTGTGTTCTGTTAGCTAAATATGATTCAATTATTGTATTGGGAATTTCTTTTATGCCATACCATTGTAATTTCTCCATCAGTTTATCATGACTGACACAATCGAAAGCCTTCAACAGATCTGTGAAGATAGTTAAACAGGATTGTTTATTTTCAAAAGCTTCAATAATGTTATTAGCTAATTTGTTTATAGAGTCTATGGCACTTTTACCTTTCGCAAACCCAAACTGACGATTATGTAAGAAATTATTGCTTTCCATGTAGTTACTAAACTGTATTAAAATAGCTTTTTCCATTACTTTGGATAGGGTGGGCAATATGTGAATTTGTCTGTAATTCTCAGGTAATTTTTCATCTCCCTTCTTGAATATAGGTAGAACTTTGGCTGGTTTGAACACTGATGGAAAGAAACCATCAGAAAGACATTTATTTATTATGATGGTAAGTGGTTCAACGATTAGTGATGCGCATTGTTTGAGCAAATAAGTGCTGATACCATATATATCTTGCGTCTTTTTTGTTTTCAGACTCTTAATAATAATGATAATTTCCTCTTTGATGAAGAGGCGTAGTTAAAAGGATTTAGATGATGTACAGGAGTTGAAAGTAATTGAAACATTTTCGGGTGTCACAATATTATTAACAATACTCTCCACATTGTCAGAATTCATTAAAAAGATTCACATCACATTCATAAACAGATGATGCATCGAACACGTCATTGCCTCTTTCAGAGTTTATAATTTTCCAGATTTTCTTATTTTTATTGATGGAGAGGAATATTTGATTTGAGTAATAATTTTGTTTTGCTTCAAGCAGCATTCTATTGTATTTTTTTTTACTCGGCTCGTATTGCAATTTATTGAAATCGCTATGAGATTTTTTATTCTTGTCATATGCTAATTGAACATTTAGTTTTTGCTGTTCAATGGCATTATTTCTCCAGTAGTCGACATTGTGGGTTTTTTTCAGTGATCTGGATTCAATGATAGAAAAAGAATTTTCAAAATCTGTCATGAATATTTCGTGAAATTTTAGCGCCATTTCCTCAGATGTCGATTTACCGTACACGTCAGACCATGATTCTCCAGTGAGATGAGTTTTGAATACACTTAGATTTTTGTTGTAAAAGTTTAGCTCATATTTCTTATTAGTATTTTGGAACACCTGATTTTGTATGTGAAGATTTGAGGATCATGATCTGCCAGTGGAACACTAAGAACTTCTGCATTTGAACTCTCTATATTTGAGAATATGTTATCAGGGCATGTTGTGTCTCAATCGTAATTAATGTTTTTGGCTATTTACAATTCCATTTTAACTATTAATGATTTTACAAAAATATCTCCCCGCTCTGTCATGTTTGAATGATGTAAAAACGAATTTCAAAGGTGATAAAAAAGTAATGAAACCAGAGGTAAAGTATTACTGTGTGACCAAATTAATGAAAAAATCGAGATTCGAGTTTATGATTCAGTTTATGATTCAGTTTATGATTCAGTTTCAATAACAAAGTTTTGTATAAAACTAAAGACTGAAGACTGGTCAGATGTTTACAATATAATATAGCTTTTTCACATTCCTACCACTCAACTATCATTTCAGTTTTTTACTTTCCCAAATTGTTTATTGAAAAAATTTGAACAAAAAATGTTTTTTCTATTTACCAGCGATTGATGAAATGAAAAATTCTACTAGTTTTTTATCGATTCATCTCTACTATTGACCCTATCTAAGAAGAAGAAATGATATTATAAATCAAATAGTTCAGTTGTACAACAATTCAAAAACGATGTGACAATTATTAAATTAGTTGTCAATAACTAGACAGAGAAAATTGATATAAACGAGCCTCCTGTTTCAACAAATATTTCACAAATTCTGCCTGTGAACTTTTGTCACAACATAGAGATACTAGTATGAATTTCCCCTTTGAAAGAGCTATCGAGTTTCATAAACAAACTTCTGTCCCGCTACTAAATACGAAATAATTACAATAGTAAATAATATGAAAAATGAAAGAAGCACAGGAGTTGATGAAATACTCGATCATATATTGAAAAGTTGTGCTCGTGAGATTGTTTATGTTTACTTTTCTCACCAATAAATCATTCGTGAACCGAATTTTCCCAGATGAACTTGTCGTATCCAATTTCAAAATGTTTTTGTATATTGGGATGCCTATTTGAAATATATTATAATATTGAAATAGTTCTAGTAAAACCGTGAAGTTTTCGTGGGTCTTTTGAAGGCTTTTGCTTGTATAAATCACGATATTTCATTACGTAAGCTTTATAAATATGGAGTTTGTGGTAACAGAAAGTTGAATCAGAATAAAAAAAAAGTACGATCAGACGCCTTGATTTTTCTTTGGGAGTTTCGCAGAGCATATTAGACAATGGAAGTTCGAACTAATGAAATGTAACAAACAATTGATCAAACAAATTCAATGGGAGCGTTGGCTTTGCATGGTTTTTGAAAGTTTGGATAGCCTTTGACTCATAACATGTTATTTTATGTTTCAAACTCGACTCTAAATTTCAATTTGTTAGTTGGCTTGTTACTTTACTTTCAATTATATTCAAGCAAGAAAACGCTTGCTCGCACGAATGTGTAGATCCGAAGATAGTCAGCTCTCCAAATGCCAACTTCTTCACCTCACAGTAGCAATCGGGAAGACTATTCCATGCGTCGAATATAAGTGCCTCAACTCGCGGCATTTCTTTTTAAGCTGTCCATACATTTCTGAACCTCCAACTCTTCCAACTTGCTTTCCAATTCTGTAAATTTTCTACTCCACAAAGCTTTACTTTTTAAATCGATCAATTTCATTTGTAGAGATCCAGTATCAACTCCAAATGGCTCAATGTGGATTTTGTACTTGTTTTAATGCGATATTACTTTAGAAAATGAAAATGAAGTAATTTACTGCATTGATTATCTTTGCACCTTACCTTTGGAAAGTCATCGCACTTCATTGTGAAGAAGGAGGTCGGAATACTAAGCCTTCATTTCGTTTAAGATTTTTTTAAAATGACAATGGTAAAGTGCTTTTGACAAGATGCTGTTAACAATTTTAATTACCAAATTCATGACCTTAACTATTTCTGCCGGAAATGTTTGGGCACAAAGCGCTTCTTGGTGTAATGTTAGTTAGGTCCAAAATGAATGGGTCTATTCGACCCTCCACCTCAATCCGAAAGTATTTATTGTGGCTCAAACCTATTCGCACTCGACCAAATAAACCCAGCTTCTTAAACAGAGGCGACACACACTGTCTTCCGACAGCCCAAGTATTTGTATATGATGATTCAAATGACAGTTTTTTTTTTGCTCTGAAGAATCTGTGTTGTCCCTTTAGAGACACTTGAAGAAATGGTGCTTATACCTCGTTAATCGATTCAGAACAATTTTCAATTTTTTTTTTGGAAAATTAATATT